TGGTTGGCGGGGTCGGGAGGGAGGATGCCCGGGGCGTTGCCCGGGAACTTGGTGGAAAAGGTTTTGTGTTAAAACGCAGTCAGGCCCTGGCCGGTGTGGCACGCTGGTCGGAGCGCCGGCCTGCGCCACCAGAGGTTCGCGGGTGTAAGTCCGGGCTCAAGGGTAGGTCCCTGGCGCGGCGGCCTGGCGGGGGCGGGGCGCCTGCGGGAGGCCAGCAAGGAGCTCGCCCTCCTTTCTCTCTCCTCCCTTCCCCTCTCCCTCCTCCCTCCCCTTCACTCCCTAAAAATCAGTGGGAAAAACTACCCTCAGGTGAGGATGAACAGAACTACACACAGAGGCTGTCGGGGGCCCTGGAAGCGCTTAGGCCCGCTCGGGACATGACGGGAAAGGCATTTTACTTTTCATACTTTAAAGTTTATTTTGGTGGTGTCGGGAGGAGGATGGGAGGGGTTGGTGCAGTGCCTGGCGTCTATGCACTCGTGCTGATGGCGCGGAGCTTCCGCCCTCCGTCCGGGGCCCTGTAATGAAGGCTGGGCGTGGTGCCCATTGTGCAGACGAGACCAGAAGTTGCGTGGGAAGTTGCGTGTCCGCAACTCAAGACCACGCAGCCGGAAGTTTCCAGCCCCGAGAACTACCTCAGCGCCGGCGGAGGGGTGTCTGCGGCCTCCCCCGTGGGCCCCGCAGCGGGGAGAGCGGCGCTGTCTGTGGAGGCGCCTGGAAGTTCCCACGTGTTCCAGCGCCCCCTCCCACGCTCAGGCCGGGGAAGGCTTTCTTTTTGTTTTTTAATCCTCACCCGAGGATATTTTTTTCTATTGAATTTTAGAGAGAGTGGAAGGGAGAGGGAGAGACAGAGAGAAACATCGATGTGAGAGCGACAACATGGATTGGTGGTTGCTTCCTGCACGCGCCCGGACCTGGGCCGGGAGCCTGCAACTGCGGTAGGTGCCCTTGACGGGAATGGAACCCTGGACCCTTCAGTCCGCAAGCCCATGCTGTGTCCACTGAGCAAACCGGCTAGGGCGAGAGTTTTTTGTTTTTTGTTGTTGTTTTTTTTAATTTTACTTTTTGGCGAGGATTGGCTAGGGAGTGGAAAACAGCCTCCCAAGGGCCGCGGAGAGTGCGCGCTGGACGCCCGAGGTGGCCCTGCTCTGGGTTGGACTTGGCCTCCTCCCGCGTCCAGTGTGTTTCACGGGGCCCTGCGTGTCTTCGCTCCCCGCGGCCTGGCCTGCTGGGCTGGACGGAGGCGTCGCAGGGCCCGGAAGCCTACCCACCAGGCGGGGACCGCAGCAGCTAGGTGTTGTGCTGCGTCCCTCTCGGCCTCGGAGGGTTTTGTTCGCCTTGTTGAGTCCCAGACGCCCCGTGAGCAATCCGGAGTTTTCGGCCAGACCGGGAGCCTGAGAGATACGAACCTCATCTCTCTCCCTGCACCCCACACCCGGCCCATCCGTCCTGCTGAGCAGAAACCAGCCCAAGTCACTGCCCAGTGGCGGGTCTTGGGCACCTTCAGCCCCACCTCCGGCCGTAGAGGACCCGGTGCTGTTTCAGGCTGGGCTCCCACCGTCTGCTACACCGGATTTCCTTCCTCCGGGCCGTCCCCCCACTTCTGGCTGCTGGGTGTGACTGGGAGGACCCTAGCAAAGCAGCCCCGGAGGAAGTCGGGACCCACGTCCCCAGTGGGTGGCTTCGGACAGAGCTAGCTCCGTTGCCCTGGGATTATGGTGTGCTAATAAGTTTGGAATCATTTTCACAGGGAATAGGAAAATTAAGTGCATTTAGGTCGGGGAGAGTTGCTGACACCCCTTTCCTTCTCTTTTCTCTTCAGGGCATTAATGACTCTGTTTCTTGTGTTTACAGGACAAGAAGGGGCTTTCTGGGAAACAGAATAATTTCGAGCGCAAAGCCGTGTATCAGAGGCAAGTGAGGGCACCCAGTCTGCTGGCCAAAAGTATTTTAGAAGGTAAAGCAACGCAAAGTCATTCCTTTAGCCTTTAAAAGCAGGTTCTGAGTGATTCTCATCATTCTGGCTGTATGGTATTTTTGTTAACCTCTGAAGGAGTAATCTGAGGGGGACATACATTTTGTTAGAAGGTTTTGTTGGAGGAAGGAAATCAGGATGTGAGAAAATGAATCTCACACACCTCCTGTTGTTGTCACTGATAATTTTGTTGGGTTAAGATGGAGTGCATATGAAATTTGCCCTAGTGTGAGTGGTGTGCAAAGATACACAGCCACATCATCCAGGGCAGATGTCCTGAAAGGAAATAAATTTAAAACAATTATTTTGTTGTTGGCGCTGAATAGAGTATGTCAAATAAGGAGTTTAACAGTACCCATACTAACAAAGACTTCTAGTTTGGGTGATCCAACTTCTGATTCCACTCTTTTTCATTTTACCATTTCCCTCCTGACTTATCTGTAATTGTGGTTATTCCACAGTTTATTATTTTGATAGGTGAGATTGTAGAATGAAACAAGTGAAGTTGAGATTGAATTTGAACAGTGTGAAATTTCTAACTCCATGTTTTCACTTTCTCTAAAGCCTGGGGATACATTAATTTTTCTTAAAATATTACTGATTTTTCAAAGCATCTCTGTTTGGGTCTGGAATTTATTTATTGATCTGATAAATAATATACTGACTACCTTTCACCATTTAAGGAAAAGAAAAGTTTATATTTGCTCTAATTATTGTCACATCAAGATTCAGGTTGAAAAGCAGATTTTTTTTTTTAAAGTAGACATTTGAATTTTGTTTTTTCTTATGTGGCTTCTGAATTGAGTTTGTTCTGGACAGGCTTTAAACTTTGTTTATGTCTTACCCTGTGCTGTGTACTTCTGACCTTAGAATAGTTTCTGGTGCATTAAAAGTGAATTTGATTACAAACTAGCTAAACAAATTTTATAACCATAGGGACCACACTAATAAACTGAAATTGTGTCAATGCAATTTGAGAAGTGGGAGGATGAAGTGGAATAGTAAATTTAAGTAAATAACTTCCTGGCAAAAAACGTACTATAGAAAAGGAAACATTGATTTTCACATTTTATTTTATTTGCAAATGAGTACGATGGGTTTGTCACTATGTAAACACAAACATTACAATGGATCCTTCAAACAAATTTGATAGTGGCGAGTACTTGGGGATGATGAAAGCATTTTATGCTACCAGGAATTCTATTTATGTTGTTATACTGATTTTTGTTTTTGACTTCATAAAGTGTGCGATGACTTCATCTATGTTCTAATGATTGCATGTTCCACCATGTGGGGATCTGGCCAACAGGATTAGTGCTTGGGAAAAACGACGTGTTAGTTATTTTCAATATAGCAGGGCATCTCAGTGCCTGGCCCCACTTTTGTTTGCTTGTTTGTACTAGTATAGTAGTCAGCGGCCTGGTTCAAAGTTCACTGAAGAATCTGACTAGTTAACAGCTCTTTTTAGTTTTCTGTGTTTCCCTGTTTCCTTATGTCTTTTCTGTTTTTCTCCTCACTAATCTGCTCTAACTTTCTCTTTTTTCCTAGTTCTCCTTGGATTATTCTCCAACTGTTACAATGTACATAATGAGCCATCTTTAGAAACTAAAAGTGACATCAGCTCTAGGTATAGATATCTTTTTTAAATAATGGAATGAGATGATATGGATAGTAGTAAATCATTGATTGAAATAAGATCAGCAGCCTTGTCTCTTAATATGTAGGAGCCTGGGAAGAATATTAAAATTTCAGCCAGTAAAGTACACTTGTCAAGATAAACAAACACACTTATAACTACAAAAACAATAACAAAAAGTTTTACAACACACATATTCTTTCCCCCAAAGGGAACAATTTAAAATTGAACCAGTACTTTTGCTTTCTGTATAGAAATGTTAGTGATACAGAACTGTAAACACTTGTTCTGCCAATTTGCAGTGTTTCTGTTGCCTTCTGGGTTTCCAGATTTTTCTTTCCTAGATGTTAATCTCTTTCATGTGCAATGCTTGCTTATTCTAGGCTACCGCCCCATACCAGCAGAGACTTATGTGGGAGGGAGCTTACCTCTACCTCCCCCAGTAAGTGACCGGATGAGGAAAAGGCGGGCCTTTGCTGATAAAGAGTTGGAGAACATTATGCTGGAGAGAGAATATAAAGAGAGGGAGATGTTGGAAGCTTCCCAAGCTGCTGCCTTGTTCCTGCCCAACCGCATGGTGCATGGACCTGAATACAACTACAAAAGTGCCTACAGCCCTACCCCGGTGGAACCACCAAGCAAAGACTTCTGTAATTTTTTGCCCACCTGTCTTGATCTAACCATGCAGTATTCAGGGTCTGGGAATATGGAACTAATTTCTTCAAATGTCAGTGTGGCCACGACTTACAGACAGTATCCTTTGTCCTCAAGATTTTTAGTTTGGCCCAAGTGTGGCCCCATTAGTGACACTCTCCTCTACCAGCAATGCCTGCTAAACACCACCACCTCAGTTCAAGCCCTGAAATCTGGGGCCAGCTGGGACTTGAAGGGAGTACAAGTCCAGGATGGACTCAGTGCTGAACACGACGTGATGCCACCCAAATTGGAAGGCTCTCTGGTGCTGCCTCACACTCCCGAGGTCCAGACCTCAAGAAGTGACCTTCAGGGTCACCAGGCTGTCCCTGAGAGGTCTGCGTTCTCCCCACCCCAACGGAATTTCTCTCCAGTTGTTGACACGGACTCCCTGGCAGCTCAAGGGCACATCTTAACCAAGATCAGCAAAGAAAGCACCAGGCACCCTCTGCCACTTAAACATAATCCATTCCACTCATTATTCCAGCAAACTCTTAATGACAAATCGGGTCCTGAGTTGAAAACACCATTTGTCAAAGAGGCCTTTGAAGAGGCCCCTAAGAAACACAGAGAGTGTTTAGTCAAGGAGAACCAGAAGTACACATTTACAATAGATAGATGCGCAAAAGACCTTTTTGTAGCCAAACAAGTTGGAACAAAACTCTCTGTGAATGAACCGCTGTCATTTTCTGTTGAGTCTATTCTCAAGAGGCCTTCATCTGCCATCACTCACATCTCTCAGTGAAAGCCTGCTGAAATGGAAAGCTGGATTTTCTGCAGTCTCAGAGGGTTCTTACCAGTTGCTAATTTTTTTTTAAAGAAAAAAGTTGAGATGTTTGTATAAAGAAATTTCTAATGTAAATGATGGCGATTAAAAGATTTATATTCGTATGCATGTACTTCTCACCACATATTTAAACTTAAAGTTGGAAATTGCTTATGTGCAAATTGTAAAGTTTCACACTTTACACATTATTTCAAAAGCAATAAAATTGACACTGCCTTATAAAAGACCCAGTATTTGCTGAAGTAAATAGTTGTCTCTGTGGTGAAAAAGCTAGTGTCTGTGAAATGTGATCTTTATTTTTCTATGATTCTTTGTATTTTCAAGTGTTCTTATTGTTTGCTGGGGGCCACAGGAGAACCCTTATAATGCCTTAGATTTTGCATTTTGGAGGGCATGTAAATATAGCTATTCAAGACTGAGGCAAAAATAGTTTTATGGAGAAGACAGGGAAGATTTGCATGTTTATAGAATCTTAATTTTGTGTGAGTGGATAAAGTTGAATTAAATTGAAGAGAAATGAAGCTTAATATCTTGTTCATATGATGAGATGGGTTCTTGGAACGGATCTCTTAACTCTCTGGGTCCAGTGCCCTTCCCTGATTGGGATGTGTATGTAGGGCCTCAAACTTCCTTTTTCTATTGAACCTTCATTCTATGATTTTTGGTTGCTATGAGCCCAGAGCAGGTTCCCTTGTAAGGTGCAGTCCATTTAAATCATGATGGTACGTGGTTGAACTGTCTCTCAGCTCTTGTGTTACTTCTGTTTCCTAAGGACTGGTGACAGCAGGCATTTAAAAGAAGGTCCAGGACTCTCAGCTGGTCCTTGTGTCTCACATTTTCCACCAGTATGGAAGGTTTTCAATGTAGCTCTTTGCTGAGTTAAAAGCTCTTACTATTCAAATTGCTTCAGCTGCCGATTGCTTGAAGGCATCAGTTGTTTATCGCAGCATGGGGGTGGCTTATTGATTCTTAAACCTTTCCCCTCTGTTTCCTGCCCCCTCTGTTTTTTATGTTCATTATTACTCTCTTGTTTTGCTCAAAAAAAAAAAGTTAACTGTTCTACATGATTGATAAAGTAAGAGTAAGATATTTATGAGAGTTATTAAATGTATCTCTGAAGACCTCATCTGTGGACCCCAAGTCAAGTTCTAAGATGTTATAGTCATTTCAACACAAAATCAAGAGCCAAATATCTCACCTTTTAATTTTGCCTTGGAGTGAGTTTACTTTCAGCTCTGTTCTCATTTGGATAACAAGAACATTAGGTGGGTGTGTGGAATGTGCCAAGAAAGTCAGGAGTTTGAAGAGTTTCTTTCTTGCTCTGGAAAACATTTAAACTTATTTAGAAATGATTTTGCTACTGATGAGCTCATGTAAATCTCAAGGGGTTATCTGCATTGTTGCTTAAAATTAGCATTGGTTTCAAAAACAACAAGCCAAACCTTAGGTTGATTTTTCAGTTTGTTATTTGTAAAATAATACTTGGTTTTGTTGAGTCAAATTTACTTATTTTTTACTATTGCAAAAGCCAGAGCAAATGGAAGTTTGCCAGAGGAAAAGAAAATGAAAGCAGGCAGAGATCCCAATAACTGTTGAAGATTATCATTAAGTGGAAAAGTTATATCCAGGCATGAATGCCTTGGGGTCAGAGACAGACTCTCATTCTGCCCGCCCCCCCATTCCTTTTAGAGGAGGGGTCCTCAAACTTTTTAAACAGGGGGCCAGTTCACTGTCCCTCAGACCGTTGGAGGGCCGGACTATAGTTTAAAAAAAAACTATGAACAAATTCCTATGCACACTGCACATATCTTATTTTGAAGTAAAAAAACAAAATGGGAACAAATACAATATTTGTATTTGCATGTGGCCCGCGGGCCATAGTTTGAGGACCCCTGATCTATACAGTTATTTTTATCTTCCTATCAATCAGGAATTTATATTTTTGTCACATGTTAAATGTAAACTTAGCATTGAAATCTAACTACTACAAGGTAAGAGAGGAAAATAATAAATCCACATAAAGAAACCTCAAGGAAGAAGGCCTTCTTAATCCAAACATGGATTTTCTCTCTTTCTTACTCTATTGTAGCCTCTTGAATGCTTACATTTGTCAATTATATCCTTCTTGTGTTCAATGAACATTTCAGGGTGTCATTTCTGTCCTCTCTCTATATCATTTTAAACTCATTAGGTGAATCCCAGTTGGCTATGAGTATTAGTGGTTTTCCTCACATTACCAGTGTCTAGAACTTTATACCTCTTGAACATTTATGAGGGTTAATACTTTCCTTGGTGATTTTATTTTCATACCATGCATCAATTGTATTGTAATGGTGAGTTCTCTGAATTTCAAACCTACCAGCTCTACCATCAGCCACTCAGTGAGACTTTTGTGCTTGGCTTTTTGTTTCTTTTAATCATTTTGCTTCCATAAAAGTTACTATTTGACTATAGTCTTCAAAGGACACTGTCATCGACATATAAAATCAAACTTGTGCTTCAATTTAAGCATTTTCTATGTTTAAGGCAATAAATGGATGTGGCTTTAATCATTTTTAAGAATGTAAAAAAGCCCTAGCCGGTTTAGCTCAGTGGATAGAGCACTGGCCTGTGGACCAAAGGGTCCCAGGTTCGATTCTGGTCAAGGGCACATACCTGGGTTGCGGGCTCAGTCCAATGTGCAGGAGGCAGCCAATCATTGATTCCCTCTCATCATTGATGTTTCTCTCTCTTCCTCTCCTTCTCTGAAATCAATAAAAATACATTAAAGAAAAAAGAATGTAAAAAAAAATAGTCTGGCTGATGTGGATCAGAGGTTGAGCATCGACACGTGAACCAGGAGGTCATGGTTCGATTCCCAGTCACAGCACATGTCTGGGTTTTACTCTCTGAAATCAATAAAAATACATTAAAAAAAAGAATGTAAAAAAAATAGTCTGGCTGATGTGAATCAGAGGTTGAGCATTGACACATGAACCAGGAGGTCATGGTTTGATTCTCAGTCACAGCACATGTCTGGGTTTTGAGCTTGATCCCCAGGTAGGGAGGCGTGCAGGAGGAGCCAATTGATGATTTTATCTCTCCCTCTTCCTCTCTGAAATCAATTTTTTAAAAAGTATATAAAAAGAATGCATTGAGTAGTAAAACATGGACTCTCTTCTCAATTTAACTCCTAATACAATAATGCAACCTTAATGACATTTTCCTTCAATCTCAACTGATCTAGCATTATTTTTTGCTCAATTTGCAGTTCTGAATAGTTAATAGTAGTTTATAGTTAATTTAAAAAGTTCCCTTCTAACCTTTGGTAGCAGAAATTGGAATAAACCTAGGCAAAGTCATAAAGTAGTAAAGTTGTTTCCCTTATCTTTTTTAAAAAACGTTCTTTTTTAAAAAATATGTTTTTATTGATTTCAGACGATAAACCTAGGCAAAGTCATAAAGTAGTAAAGTTGTTTGCCTTACCTTTTTTAAAAAACGTAGTTCTTTTTAAAAAAATACGTTTTTATTGATTTCAGACAGAGAAAGTGAGAGGGAGAGAGAGATAGAAACATCAATGATGAGAGAATCATTGATCGGCTGCCTCCTGCATGCCTCCTACTGGGGATTGAGCCTGAAACCTGGGCATGTGCCCTGACCTGGAATTGAACCATGATCTCTTGGTTCATAGGTTGATGCTCAACCACTGAGCAATACCAGTCAGGTTAAAAATATAATACACATTTTTAATTGTGATAAAATCCAAATGACATAAAATTTACCATATTCACATTGTTGTGCAACAATCACTACTATGCATTCACAGAACTCTTTTTATCTTGCAAAACTGAAACTCTGTTAAACATTAAACAATTCCTTCCTCCTCCCAGTCCCTGGCAACCTTTCTGTTTATAAATTCAACTACTTTAGGTAGCTTGTATAAGTGGAATCATACTGTATTTGTCTTTTTGTGACTGGCTTATTTCACTTAGAATAATGTCTTCAAGGTTTCTTGATATTGTAGAATATGTCAGAATTTTCGTCCTTTAAAGACTGAATGCTATTCTATTGTATGTGTATATCATATTTTGTTTACCCATCGTCTGTTGAGGTGCTTTTACCTGTTGGCTATTGAGAGTAATGCTGCTATGAACATGGGTGTACAAATATCTCTTCACCTAGTCCCCACTTCCTGATTTCACTCTTTTTCCATCTTCAGGAACTCACTTTTCTCAAGTATACATACTTCCCTCCCACACTATCCCCACACCCCCAACATCTTCACTCCTCACCCAGGCAACACCACTCTGCCGAATATCAGTTGTGTACCTTTTAATGGGAGTTTGAATGTGTTTTTACACCATCTGCATCTAAAAGCTTAATTCTAATTGTGGAATGAAAGACTTGTACTAACCTGTTTTAAGAAACTTCCTGGAATTCCTTCTACAAAGTCTTAGCAGTGTAAAGAGAACTAAATGGCTGAAGGTCAAGATGAAGGAAGAAGACTCCACAATTCCCTGTAGAATAATAAAGACATCACTTAGCATTGAGGTTGGGGCTTTCAGTCCATACTAGAATTCTTACTGTACCGCCTATTTTATTTATTTTTGGATTAACTTTCTTTGTTCCTATTCCTAGGTCTGGAGGCTCAGGCTTATTTTCTTCTGGGGTCCACTTTGTAGGACTGATAGTTCTTGAGATGGCTGGATGCTGCAATATATAAACATGGGTTTGTGGCACCCACTTATATTTATTTTAATGATTGTACCAAGCTTTTATAATATCTATCCCCCTTAGTTATTTTGGTTTTTAATTTGTTATATCTAAACACATTCAGGGCATGCTAGACACCTGAAATAGGTTGGTCTGATATAATGATAAATATGTCATAATAATAATTAACATAGTTAGTGCCTGCTAATACAAAACATTCATACTTATCTCTTTTATTCCTCATATAAATTCTATGTAAAGTTGGCAAATGGCCATATCAAGAATTGAATCTACATCTCTCTATGTGTGTGTACATGGGAGATTTTTTTCCAAAATATATGACTTGATATGGCCTAATCCGTCTCTAAGAGTTTGTATGTAAATGTTAAGTGCATCAAATTCTCATATATAATATATGTAATGAATTACACATGTATAATGTTACCTGTGTGACAAGTCCTTGTAGAAACATTTGTATATCTACCTTAATTTCATAAAGTCACACACACACACTCTCATGGAGTTATGAAAACAGTT